AATGGGCCGTTCTGGTTTAAGAACGGGTCATTCTAGATGCAAATTTAACACATGACCAATGAATCTAGAACGGGCCATTTTGGATCCGAAACGGGTCATTCTGGCCACTTCTGACATCTATAAATAGCATACTCAAGCACTGCTCCTAGACACGCTCTCTAAAGACCAAGTAGAACCAAGAGAAGGAGATCAACCAGATTTTGCTCTAGCTTCATCTTCTGCTTATCCAGGAAAAGGGGGAGTGAGAAACCTTGCTCGGGGGTGTGGGAATAATTGTTGGGTAGCAGGATTGGCCCCCAATCCCTTGCTAGGAACAAGCACAATATGAAAGTTTTCTGTTTTGCTTTCTGAATTTTCTATTGCATTCCTTGTGTGATGTTGAGTGTAAATATGAATTTGATTTCAAAATTAGATAAATTTTTATACGAATTAGAGTGCTCTATGAGTTCCTGTGCGAAACCCTATGAGGAACAATTATGAGTATGACTATGTGAAATGTGAACAAATGACATGAGACATGATGTGAATGCCGTGCTATTGTGAACACTATGACTATGAGAATGTGAAACGTGATGAAATGAGATAAGACATGCAATTCCATTATAAGTAAACTGATGAGTCCATGAGTTTGTGAATGTGTGACATGCATCATATGCATTTATGTGGCGGGGTACGATATGAAGTACATCCTTAGGGAAGACCCTCCAAGTGTGAAACATCTTGGAGGAGTCCTAGGGGATAGTGCGGTTTGGAAGGCCTAGTTCTGCCCGTTTGTGTGCATGGGACGTATCTTCTGCGGCTTCGCTATCTCGACGAGACCCTAGCAGTACAACTTTCTAGTTGAGAGTGCACGGTTGAGCCGTCATGTACTCCTAGACTACTCCAAGTATGTTACTTCGGCATCATACCACGTGATATGTGATTATGAGACACGTGACTGGCGCCACATGCATGCATTAATGAGTCGAGTTCATGACATCATTGTATGATGAATGATTGTGCATGTGTTACTGTTGTATGTATAATTTGAATTTGCACCTGATTAATGTGTAGTTATGGCTATGCTTGTTATGATTTGTGTGTGTGTTGCCTAACTGTTATTTTTACACCTGAAACCGAATGAGATGTTTCTCACTCCCTTGTTGTTCTTTGTATGTGTTTAAATTGTGTTGTAGGTGATCATCAACATGAGGATGTTGGTGATGAGGCTTAGGCTTCAATTGGGCATGCTCTGATAGGATATGTGGCATCGGGGCATAGCTAGAGTTAGTTTAGGATTTCATTATTGTTATATTATTTTGGAAAAACTCATGTTTCATTCTTCTATAAATTTTGCATTTGACCATGTTTTAAGTTTACGAATGTGAATTCTCTACTCTTATGTTAATGGAACCATTGTTTTAATTCTAAAGATTTCATTTAACACAAGAATATGTTTTTATAATTATTGTATATGTATGTTGGGGTAGAAGGTGTCACAGAATGTACTCTAGGTTGTCTTATGAGCCTTCGGGTGATATGTGTTCTTGTTGGATAATGAATGCAAGAGGACTTTAACCAAAAGTCTTTGATCCTCAGCTTCTCAATCCTTGACTTCCAAGTGTAAGGAGGTTTGTACATGAAAGAGGGACTCTAATATCAAAATTAGTAAGTAATCAGAGTGATTGAATGTATTGTATATATGTTATGTACCTTATGTCTAATACATATATACTTATAGGTGAATGAATGTTATCATTGAGGATTTGGTCATTAAGTGCATTTAAGAGTTTATTTCCCTATAACAACTGAAGGTTACTACTTGTAATGATTGTGATGAGAAGTGCGACCTTGATCAAATTATCCTCGACTATGCATTTTCAATAATTTTGATGTCATTAGCCAGCCACATATCTAATTTTTCAAGTTCTTGTGTGTGTTGTTATGATTATAAACAAATGTTAAGGAAAAATTCTATCATAACTTGTTTTTTTCTTTTTTACCGAGATATAGTTAGCTACATGTTACAATTACACATGTCAGAACTGAGTTAGATTCGAAGATTTGAATAAGTGATGAATAAATAATATTTATAAAGAAGTATTCCATAACATATAAAAATATTATAACATGTTATCTATGTACTTATGTATACTTTACTGTTTATTTATTATTAATATTATTAATATTCCACAACATATAAAAATATTTTTCACATGTTGCATTGTTAGCATATTTGTCTATGTGGCAATTTTTCTAAACTTTTATTTTCTATCATATTTTTCTTTTATCCTCTATATATTACATCTCTCCTATGCATTTTATTTAATACAACTCCCATTCTTCTATTGCCTAATTTTTATTCTCAGTTTTGTTTACACATAATTTGGGATTTCTCTCCATCTTTATCATCTATATTATATCTTTAGGTTCTATCTAATTCATCTCTCACTCTCTTTGTTTAATTTTCATATCACATGACAATCTTTGTAGAAATGAAAGGTACTACTTTCTCATTTACCCTCTATATTACATTTTTACATTCTATCGAATTTATCTTTCACACTCTTTATTTTATTTTCATTTCAAATAGCAATTTTTGTCAGAAATGAAAGGTATTAGTTTTTCTTCCTTTTTTTTCTCATCTATCCTTTATATTACACATTTATGTTTTATCTAATATATCTCTCACCCTCTTTGTTTATTTTTCATCTCACGTGACAATCTTTGTCAAAAAATAGAAAACACTACTTTTTTCTTTTAATTCTCAAATTTTTACACATAATATGAGATTTGATCATACTCACTCTTGAGAAAGAAGAAAAATCACAAATGAGAGAAAATAGATCTTCTCATGTAAAATTAAGTTTATGATATTTTATTTTGATGTGTTTTTTTTAATTTAATTAAAATATTTTGAAATTATGGACAAAGAAGACATAAACACAAAAGTGTTTTAATTTTATTTTTTTATTTGTGAATTTGATGCATTAAACTTGAATTTGAAATTATTTGTTAACATAAAATTGTTAGTTTTGCATAAAATGATAAAAAAAAAAAAACAGTTTGTTAATGTCAAATGGAATCTTCACTTGCATATTCATTGTAAATGACTTGATATGATTTATTTATTTATTTTTATTAGAAATTAAAAGTGACAATGATATATTATCTATATAACATCTTCTATAATATTATTTTTATTGTCATTCTATACCGAATCACTCAATATTATTGTGACTTTTTTATTTTTTATTTTTATTCTATTTTCTTCTCACATCATTCTTATCTCTTCAAGGATTAATATATTTTAAATTTATTAACTAAATAAACCAACTTAATTTAATTTCCTTCTATATTATTACCACTGAATATTAATAATTGTGATAAATTATATAATATAATTACAATTTATATTAAGTAACAAATAATTTCAAATTATATTTAATTAAAAATTATATATAAATAATTATATTAATTAAGAATTAAGAGACTAAATTTGATTAAAGTGTGTCTGTTACTAAAAAAAAGAATAAAAGATAATAAATATTATGCAATTATTATTAATTATTAGTAGCACAAAAATAATTTTTTTTATCAAAACTATAATGTTTAATAATTTAGAATTACGTTTAATATTTTACTATAAATTAATGGTTTTATTAATTAAGAGATTAAATCTCGTTAAGTAAAATAGTAAAACCAAGTATTTAAAAAAATTTGAATAGAATTGCATTACAACATTTTGTATATATAGCTGCTAAAATACGATAACGTATAATACACCTTTAAATTTCATTTGCAAATGATAACAAAAAAGTTAATTTGCAACGCACAATGGTTATTGATAAAGATATATATA